GTAATTCTGGCAGCTAATTCTTCCATCTCTCTCTACCAAGGCAATGTACAGCTAGCACAAAAGAACAACGAACGATATGTAACTTTACAATCCTAACAAAAACTAGGCAATCAAAAGATTAAAATAAACCTTCAATCACCACAGTGTGGGTATTTGCAGAGAGGACAGCATGGCAAAAATGCTCCTGAGTTCTGTTTGAAAAGCAAAAGAACGCGCAAGTTCGTATCTGCATTGTCATTCCTACCACTGGTCTCTTTAGTGAGCATACAGCAGCTTCACAGAGGATTCATTTCTTTTCTCCCGTTGTCTCGGCACAAACCCAAATTACTCCCTGTTGAACAAGCTTGCCAAGACATCTTATGACACTATGCAACTCCATTCTTTAGCTTCACAAGGACAATAACAAACATGGTTTACACATTGACTAAGCCATTCCTTTTCTTATCACTCCCTTTTCCTTTCTTCCTATCCCAAGACAATCTCTCCTGGATTTGTGAAAAAGAAAAATTCTATCATTATAAAGCAACCGCTAATATTGGATGTTAAATTCCAGCCTGTTCTCAGGAATTAGCAAACTGGGAAAAGTGATTTCTCCCTAATTTGCTCTTCACTGCTGACAAATTCAGCAGATGATGTGCATTCAGATGCTGAGGCTGATTTCATATGGAAAGAAATGAAATACCACAAGTAGAACAGATAAAAATTTCAAAAAGTCACAGAACATCCAGACTAGATCAGAGTCTATTCATTATTAATGAACTTCATGCACCGTTAAGTCTCACAAACCTGGGCACTATCTCCGATCTGCTACTTTTCACCATACCTGTTATATATATGGTTCATTCATAACTTTATCTGGGCTTCTATGGATTTGTCTATGACATTTTGTGAGTACTGTTAGGCCCCAAGCTTGTGAACAGATGGGAGTGAGCACAGGCAGCAGCAGACACCATTTCAGACAGTGTTTCTGCTAAGGTTGCAAGAAAGTACAAGCTATATAGCAGGTGCTCTGCCACCTTATCATGCACAGTGTCCTACAAATAAGCACAACCACCTCTTCTAGGTACCTAAGGCAAGTCTGAAATTGGGTCTAATCTTACTTCATTCCCCAAAGTGGATCAGTACTGCCCTGCACAGTGACTTTGGCTACAGCAAACAAGCCAGTCTGCCATGACAGCAGTAAAGACAGTATTCTCATTTACTTCTTTCCTAATCTACACAAACTGTATAGGACCAAGTTCACAACACAGGCCTAAACAAGCCACACAATTGTGCTACAGAACAACTAACACTTGTTCAGATTCTTCAATCCTTCTCTGTAGTCTAACCTTGCATATCACCATACAAGGGCTATAAATAATATATTCCCAACATTCCAGTCCCACCAGATGCTTCTCTTCTCAAATGTGAAAATTAACAGTGATGAAACACTAACTTTATGAACCATGTGGAATACTGGAATTTTCACAACGTTCTGTATCTCCACACACACATACAGGGCAGTGATAGCTGTGCATCTAATTATGTTAATAGGGCACTTGCAAGTCAGATGCAGGCTGTCCACCAGTTTATTTCAATTGCAATCACTTCTAATATTTTTAAAGATTTAAGGATTTTAAAGAACCAGATCCTCACCTCTGAATAAAACAGAAATGGGGTATTTTTATACTATTACAGACTAAAATCCTCTATTAAAAACATACAATTATTTTTTGGTTGCTATTCCATGATTTTGCATGCAAGTATGCAACTTCCATTACATACACAAGTATGTGACAGTGGTCACTCTTTTAATCAATCCTAGTAATCAAAATATGTATTATGTCAATGTGCCCAATTCAGGACCAAGACAAAAATCTCTATAGCCTTTTGAGTGTGGTCTAGTGATCAGAAAAAAGGACAGAATCAGAACTGAGGCACAGACGCACCATGTGGCCTTGGCAAACCCATTAGAGAGCACCAAAACATTCTGCGTCCCTGAGACTTACCATGTGCAAGATCACTTGTGCTGGGAGCAGACTCTGCATTTTGACTCCGCAGATGCTCAATGTCCCTGTGTGACTCCTGGGATGGAGGTACTGAAGATGCTGAGGAGGAGGAGGAAGAAGAGGAAGAGGTTGGTTTGGATTTGGAATGCAGATCATTCAGTCTCAGGAGATTTTCAGGAGTTGCAGTGTCTGGATTCACTGGGGTAGGATGCAGTGTGGTTGCTGTTACTGGGAAGAAGCTCTCTCTGTTCTCCTTTGTATGCTTTGGAGTCGTGGGTGCTTCTCCTGTGGCCTACACAAAACAAAAAAGGGCAGGCAGAGACAGTGAGAAAATACATGTCAGTAATTCTGCATATGCTACCTGCTTCAGTGACTGTGAGCAGTACAACTTTCTGCAGACAGAAAACACTGTCTCTAAAGGGACTATAAAATAGGTAACTATTATAAAGAAATATTTTGTCTTTATGGATTATTTTTCTGTTCTTTATGGTCTACTTAGCAAAGCAGCACTTGAATATTTGTTCATATTCATACTGACAAACTCCTGACCTGAACAAACAGATCTGCAATGCTTTAAGAGCATTTGCAAATTATTAGAAGATATAATTCTTAGTGAATGATGTCAGAAGAAATAGAGAAAGCAGAAAAATCTATTTGCTTGCAAAATAAGTGATCATCTTAACCTCAAGTCATAAATTCCCAATAACTGCAGAACTGAATAACACTGGTGTCCAACTTGGAATAATGTTCTGGAAGATCTGCTGCCTTTGCAGAAGTAACAGCGGCACCAAAAGTGACACTCTGAAGCCAGAGCTAAGAATTTAATGCAGTATCATTGATTACACAGACAGAAGGTAGAAGGGTGACATAAATTCACCAAAGAAGGGAACAAAAGTACCCATAAATCGAGTATCTTCTCTGTATTTTTTATCAGCAATCACATCTTCTTGCCTGTGAGGCCAGAGAACACATTTATTTAATGCTCTTTATGGCCTTCATTCAAAGAAGACTTACTGGACTGGAAAAGATACAGCTGAATGGAATCTTCAGCTATTTAACTCCTGTCTCATACCTCTACTGTGAAAAAAACCCTTGTTTTAAGCATGGTGCTAGAGTATGAGTGTCTGAAATAGGAAATAGAGTTCTGCTGTCAAATGTAACATTAAATTGGGCCCTAATGGCCTAGATGACCAAAGATTTTTTACAATGCCAGAGGAGTCAGCAGAATTTCACTGAGAGAACAGAGTAAATCACAGCTGGAGCAAACAAGTTTAAAATTCAAAGGTGGAAAACACGCAAGTACAGCTTTTTTTAAATAATTGGTGGAATGTATTTTTGAAGTTCCTGAACTTGATTAATCAATCTGCAAAGAGCAGTTGATTAAAACCTGCCAGATGCTATGCGCACACAAAACATAAAACATAGCAGCTATATTCACAACTATTATCACGTTAGAGCAAAAAAAAAAAGTCTATTCTGCCTCTGAAAGCAGGTTTCTGATGTTTAAACCATCAGTTCCAAAACTAAAGGTCTCAAGACTCACAAATGGGATCATACAAACTTAAGGGAAAGCACAGAAGAAAGCTTTAAGCCAGCAGTGAGATCACTAGAGGAAATGTCTTCAGCTGTGATTTAGAGGGAAAACCCTTCACACCCAAGCACTTCATTAACTTACATAATACATTATGTAGAACCTGACATTTTCGTGCTTGTATTATATCCAGGTTTGGGTTTTTTTTTCATCAGAAACACACGAAGGTACTACTAGTTAGGTACATACTTGTTAAAAATATAACTGCGTCTCAAACTGTATTTCTATAAAAATGCACAGTTATTTCCAGAGACAGAAAAAGGACTCTTGGAAAACAACTCAGCAAATACTTGAATGGTACTCAGAAGAAAAATGATTAGTGAGAGGAGGAGTACAGCAACACTCCTTCTGCTGGAAGGGACCTCTGCGTGTTTGTAGTCCAATTTCTGCTCAAAGCAGAGCAGACTTCAGTCAGATCAGCTTACTGAGGGCTTGTGTCCACCTCAGTTCCAAATGTCACCAAGGATGGTGTCCTGGGTTCAGCTGTAGCAAACCACGACAGATGGAGATTCCACAACCTCTCTGGGCCCCTGCTGTAGTGCTTTACCACCTTCACAGGGAACATTTTTTTCTTGTCATTTCATCCAAATCAATTTTGCTGCAACTTTAAATGGCACTTCTCATCTGGTTCCTTCCTCCCTGCTGAAGATGACAATTCCATACCCACACCCTCCATTAGTCTCCTGTTCTCCAGGACAAAGAAACCCACCTCTCTCTGACTTCACTGCCATAAAGGCACATTGCTGACCTGTGCTCAACTTCTTTGTCCATAGCTCCATATGTTTTTTTGGCAGAGCTGTTCCGCAGCCAGCTCTGTTGCACAGAGATCACTCTGCCCCCGGCACAGGATTTTGAATCTCTCAGTGTTGAACCTTCAGCTAGTTCTTCCAGTCTTATCCAAGTTCCAGCACACTGACCATGCCCTCCAAGCTGGTGTCATGTAAACTCACTAAGGGTTCACTCCATCCCATCATCCGAAGCATCAGGGAGAATGACGCCCCAGTATAAGTTTGAGGAATGCCACTGGGAACTGGCTGCCAGGTAGAACCCCAGTGGGTGGCCAACACGTGTTTAGCCAGGCAATGGACAAGCACTGAAATAAAGAAGGCCGTCTTGCAAGTTGCATGTGATCAAGCACATAGAGAGAAAAGGTTGAGACTAAAGTTACCCCTTACTGGTATACACAGATGAAACCAAACTTCTATTTAATGTTTCTCAAAGTGAAGGTGCTGTTCTAGGGACAAGAAAAATTAGGTTTTATTTTGAACTGGTTCCTCCAGGTGAAGCTGTGGTTTGGGCAAAATATTTTGGTTTTTTTTTTGCAGAGAACCAACCTGAAGAGAATAACATTTTGTTTGCTCAAAAGAATGAAGCTGAAACTAACATGATGGTTCTGTCTCAGTAAAATCATGACTAAAAATTCTAATGCATAGTCAAAAAGTGCAGCTTTACACCAAAGAATGGCAACCAAAGATTTCCTTATTTATGGCTTTAAAGGAAACCTTCTACCTGTGATCAGGTGAAGGGTTGTCTAAGACTTCTGTAAAGAGACAGGTTCTTTCAGCCCAATGAAACAGAGACCTTGAAAGGCGGAAAAAACCCCAACCCAAACCCCTCTCAATGACTTTTTCTTCTCAAACAAGGGGGTGGAAGAAAAAAAGAGGAGAAACACCTGTTTTTAAAATAAGAGTCCAAAGCATAAAAAAATCCCCACCCTTTGCTACTATGTATTCTGTACCTCATACAGCCATAAAAAAGGAGATTTAAACCTTCTTTGTATGTTTTACTGGCCCCAGAAACTGAAGAGCACCCAAAAGCTGTAAGGAGAAAATTAAGATGAGCACCACAGTAAGGCACATGTTGTTTTCTTTCAGAGATTTTGGTTTTAGTGTAGGGGCAAGAATTCCAGTTCAGGGCAAAGTCACTAACTACACAACTCAAGACTTACGGGGCCACATTTCATCATCCTGCCTCCAGGAAAAGACAAGGCTTTATAACACTGCATATGAGAAATAATCCCAGAAAAACTCATTACAGGAAGTCTTGGCTTTGCCAGAAGCACTTTATGTTCATCTATTTCTACTGCTGTACCAGCAGCAAGGCATAATAAAGATTATTTCCCTCAAAGATACAGTAGGGAACTGAGCAGCAGTGACAATAATCCTTTACCAGCGTTTTATGTGGTTTCTCATTAGGAGAGGGTTTTTTTTTTTAAAGTTTCTATTTTGTTGTGGTACTAAGTCAAAAGTATAGCAATTCTCCTTCCCCCTCTTTAATTCACTGCACTGTGTTAAGTGTCTGTTACCACCACTATGTTTAAAAGATGGTGGCTTTATTACAAAGTGGCTTTAGTCACTAAAAGGAAAGGAATCTTTTCTTACACTGATGAGGATGCTACTTAGAGAACAAGTGCATATAACTGAAATAAGATGAAAACTCTTATTTGCCTTATCTTTCATTGTGATTACAGGTTCATCTAGTCAGGATTGGACTTCCTTCTGCATGCTTTACGAGTTACTGAAGATGATGCAGTGCTACATCTCTCTTGACTACCATACTACCAAAGTGGATGGAACTAACATACAAGGCTTATTCATAACCAAATGACATGTCACAGAAGATGACTAGAACAGTCCATTAGTTCCATAAATACCTGCTAACCTATTTGCTCTTCTTTAAAAAACTTAGCAAAAATGTTCTTCATTATGAAGTCTGTATAAAGCTAAAATTTAAATAACTTGCATGCATGTTTGAATTGTGACTATATCTGACTTACGCAGGTGACAAGATCAGACTCCTTATTTGTTAAAACATTGACTATTTCTGTATACTCCTCCAAGAGTTCATTCAGCTTCTCGGAGGCTATGGACAAACCCTTCCAATGGAAGCTGGGGGATGAAGCAGTAAGGAGGGGGGGACATTGGGTGTGATGCCATTCTTCTTTCGAAGTCACTGTTACACGTGACAGAGCCCTGCTTTCCTGGAGATGTCTGAACACCTGCCTGTCCATGGGAAGTGGTGAACCAATTCCTTGGTTTGCTTTGCTCGCACACGCGGCTTTCGCTTTACCTATTAAACTGTCTTTATCTCAACCCACGAATTTTCTCACTTTTAGCTTTCTGATTCTCTCCCCCATCCCACCAGGGGAAGTGAGTGAGCGGCTGTGTGGGGCTTAGCTGCTGGCTGAGGTTAAACCATGACATTACCATACTTATTGTTGCTTTCAAAACACAACAAACAAATCCTACAGGGACCTTCTGATACCGCTCCTAGAACAGCCCACTGCTCTGGGGGTGTGGGAAAAAGTAACAATCAGGTGTTCCACAGAAAGTGATAGTGATGGTCTTCCCAACACAAGTTTCCTGCTGAAAGATGCTAGCAGTGCACCTGTTACGTAACTTATTCTTGGGTTTTTAATTTATTCCTGTGCCTCAGTGTGGCATTCTGTGGGACTGAAGTCAGAATCCACCTAACAAAAAGATGTGCCTTTTAAAAGAATACCAGTGCATCACCACAAACCCTTGAAGCTGTCACACAACGTGGCTGAACAACACACTGGCCACTTGCCACCATACTGGCCCCTCAACTTCTGTTCAATATAGTGTTTCAATTAAACTATGCCTATTCTTATTTTTTCCCCCCCAATCTCTCTGCAGCGATATTTAAAAGGAATCTCATTTGGAAGTTTTCTTCAAGGTACATTAGAACTAGCAGCAATATCCATGATCCCGATTCTAAAAAACCTTGTATTTACCAAGGTTCCAATTTTATTTCCTAAGATTACAGTTTTATATATAGAAAATAATTAAGGTTTAGATACATCTGATTGAACTGCACTTTAACCTAACAAAATCCTCCATTTACACAAATGCATGCAGGGGCGTAACGTTCTGCTCTACGCAAGCAGCTGTGTTCCAGCAATGCTCCATACATAAAAACATCATTATTGGACCAAAAGAGATAAGGCAGCAGGATGAAAACCACTGTCAGACAAAGTAAAAGATAAAAAGTGACTTTTCTTCCCTTCATGTTCACTTAATGATTGCTTTCTGCAGGAGACAGAAGGAGGAGAGCTGTTAATTATATCAAGAATACACCTCCAGGATAGAGTGAGAGGGGGATGCCATGGCAACTGGCAAATGCAACAGTGAACAAAATGGTCACCCTATGATAGGAGACCATGAAAGAGCTCATCCTTTTGTGTGTGTCCCCCCCCCCTACCCCCACCTCCTCCTTCCCCTCCTTTCTTGTCATGTTTGCTGCATTAATAAAGCATACAGACAACTCAGGAAAAACAACTTTTTCTGTAAGCAGCCTCTGACGTCTTGATGTGCAGGAAGAAAAGACAAAAATTAGCAGCATGTGGGTGGAACAAAAAGGAGGGGAAAAAACACATGAGGTAGAAATAGAGCTGATTATTTTCTAATAATTTAATATTTTACTTAACTCCTCCCATCCCCAGGAAAGTGCCTTTGCAAAAAGGCTTTTAGCAGTTTCTTGAAGAGAACAGCTTGGTGGTTTGTTTTTGTGTGGTTTGGTTGGTTTATTTAAGTGGGATTAGAGACAAAACTGCTCTAGACATTCAAGGCAGTTCAAACAAGTCACTCAAGTTTTCTACTTGAAGAACAAGTCACTGCAGTGCTGACTGCATTCCACAGCAGAAGGGGAAACACTCACTGAAGTGCCCTTTAGCTTCACTCACAGAGACAATTTTTCCTGTTCCAAATAAAATGTCACAATCACTGTAAGGTCCAACACAGATATTGTAACATCACTAGACTGATGCTCCAGAATCAATCTGAGCACTTTTGAGGTTGTGTGTAGTTCCAGCTGCAGACCCCATACAGCAAACCCATCATCTATGGCATCATTCCTGAAATTTCTTCAGTATGAGGCTGTGGTTTAAGGCTTCAGGACATTTTGGACTTTAAGACATCACCAATGCTGGGAACAATTAAACACCAATGGAAGGAGAACCAAGACCTCAGTTACCTGTTTTGAAACTAGAGAAGGGCAAGAAAACAGCAGCACTAAAGCACTGCCTTTCCTCAACAAATACAGCTTTTAAATTACAGAAGTAGCAAGCTTCATAAACTCAAGGATCCTGCCAGGAGCCTAAAAGGCACAGCTGATCTGCATAGCCTAGTTGTGCCTTTGTGTTTATAATAAATGTACTCGTGTTGATTCCAGCAGCAGCTTCTTCATGAAACATCATATTTAGTTAGATCCAGCACTGAAAGCTGCTGAAGAGTTTTGACCACAGATTTAGAAAGGGAAATGAGGAGAGCACTCGGAATTTGGCACCAGCCAGTGGGAGAAGGTGATCAAGGAGGTGATACTTTGGATGAGGCGAGTTCAAGCCAAGGGTGAAAGCGAGGATATGATCAGTCCGAATGGTGCAGGGAGAGCTTGAGGTCTGGCAGCTGGATCAGGAAACAGTGGTTGAAAATTTCTCTCTCACTCTTCAGGGATGGAAGTGGTCCCAGAGCAAGGGTTTTTTTGGCTAAGGCAGCAGTGAGTCTTAAATAACTCGGCAATGTTGAAATAGCCCCTTCTCATGACATTTAGATGATATACTATACTGTGAAGAGCCAATAGGAATTTCAGCTGCTACAATACTACCCATTATGAGGACTTTCTACATACAGTCCCATATTCTCAAGGGTCAACACACAGGACTAGAGACTTAATGGCATTCTGGAACTTTGCCCTTGAACACTCTTGTATTTTTAGAGATGTTAAGTCCAGCCCTGTGTACAATGTTGATGCCTGCAATGTTTTAAGCTATTTGTTCTATTCAGTTCTCAGGATTGGCAATCCACAATATATCCTAACACAACCACAAAGTTTTACCTGTCCTCGTAAAGCTACTTGTCATGACAGTTTCAATACTGGTGAAAGCTGTAATTTTAGTATTAATGCACACAAAACTAAGTCCTCAGTAATAAAAATACCTTTTTGAATTGCAAGTCAAGAAAAGAAAGATGCGTTTCAGACTGAAGTATCTCCACATGCATTAATAGAATGTTCTGTGCACTACGAAGCTTCATCCTAGATTGTGCTGCAGTAACTTTCTCAGGGTGACATGTCCTTAACAGTATCACAGACATCATCATTATGTATAAAATGAAGACTGTAATGTGACCAATTTTAGGCAGCCAGAGAAAAGGTGTATTAGAAATTCTCCAATTATCTAGCAGCCTCACAACTGCTTTCTGCCAGCACACCCCCTCCTTAGTCCTTAGGACTACAGATTTAAGTACAATGCCACATCAAGGTCAAACTAGTCTGCCTCTTAATCTTTCATTCTCCCTCAACAAGCTCTTGGTATTCCATTTCCAGGGGCCATTAATTTCGCATGAAAATCATAGCTGGCAAGACTAAAAATACATCTTATAACTCAGAGCAATAGCTGACTGCTTTCAGGATCTCTGCAGATCTTTTTGATAACATTCTCAGATTGAGAAAATCGAAAAGAATAAGCATCCTTCAAAATGCTGCTTGACCACAAAGTGAATTATCTCTAGTGTAACTTCAGTACTTAACTACTATTAACATAGTGAATAGTAGTACTTAACTACTATTAACATAGTGACTACTATTAACATAGCAGTCGCAGCCTATTAAATATGTATGTATCAAAAATGTGGCTCACATCTACAATGGAAAAGAACAGAAAGAGGAAGAATGACTTTCAGCCACACCTATTCTCCAGTCTCGTGTACTGCGCAGCCACTCAAATACCTGGGCCAGTACAGAGGAATGTATACCATGACAGAGGAAGAGCAGCCACCAAGAAAGCAGGCTTACTTCCAGCAGCAGTTCTCACTTGAAAATGCTGATTTAACTATGCTATGTTCTTATGCTATGACTCACTGTCATGTCTTCTAGAGGTATTACTTTGAACAATGACAAAACAACTCCGAAAACTCCAACACCATCACAACTCGTAAGTCCAACCTGAACTACTTTCTTTCCTCCCTCAGTTACAAAAAGCCCATCAGATGAGATGGGCTACTGTTCTCCCACCTTTTCCAGCTGCAGGACTACTCATTTCATGACTTGAAATCCTAGCATAAGCAATTGCCTTTGAAGTCACAACCCCACTCATTACTGGTGGCCATACAGCCTTCTTTGGAAGCTGCTATATTCTGAACTAAATTTAAGTAGTCTCTGGAACTTCAGTCTCTTGCTTTTAAAAACAGTGCAATAGGCTGAAGGGTCAACAGGCTATACTAGAGAATGTGAATATTTGAGAAGCTATTTTGTTAAATCCTCAGTCTACATTAGTTTAGTCATAAGACCAACTCAGTGACTTCAACAAGGGCAGTTGTATCTGCAAGAAGCAGCACAACAAAATTCTCTGAAGAGCTGATGATTATACTGCTGTAACAAATCAAATGGTATTTATTTTCAAAGTGTTCACTGGGCAATCTTCTGTATCACTGAAAACTGACCAGACAATATTGCCCTTGTCCTCTTAACTCTGAGTATGCAGTCACCTTTTAAAACTCCACTCAAGCAACTCACATATATCAGCCAAGTTTCTTGCTGGCCTTTCCTGAAGGTTCAGGGTATGCAATTGCTATGGCAGCTTTTCCAACAAGGTCAACAGTTACTCAGGCATGCGGCAAAACATGAGAATGGTGAAAAACCTGCACACAAACTAACCTTGAAAGTGGATACTGTAGATGAGCTAGTATTTGACTGCACTGGAAGTGACAAGATTTCCTGTTAAATCACTTGAAATAAAACATACCTCTTAATGTGATGCACTTTGAAGATGGCAATCATTCCTTTTAAGGAAGCACTCCCAGCTAATGAGATTATTACATGCTGCAGTTTCCTTTTAGTCCATTTCTAGCAGGATCTTGTAGGCTGTGTGAAGCTGCCCTACTGCTACTATAACACTATGAATTAGTGTGGAGACACAGCAATAGCCACTCTTGCAGACATCTGTCTGTTTTCCACAGACTGAGTCCTGTTTTATTTAAAATTGGCAAGTATTTGCTTTCTATAAACAAATGATGTCATGCATAGAGCTGTGGCAGCCCAGAGAAGTGCTTTGTTATTGGATAGTTTGAGTAGGTTTACAGGACCTGTGGTTCTTAAGTCATTTATCCCAGAAACTGACAGTTCAAAAAAACCACCAAAAAACCCCAAGAGAACACAAAATCTACCCTGATATATGTCTTTTTTTGCTGGCTGTTCTATTTTACAGTTCCAGGAAGTATATGGTTTCTTTATGAAAGCTTTCACTTGCTACTAAAGTGAGGAATTATTTGAATTATGGCTTTTCCACTTCCTTCCAGGCCAGTCAGAGTTTTTAACCTAAATATTTAACAACTATTGAATTTTTTATATGGCTCTTCAGGCATAAGGAGGAAACAATACAGCAGTCAGTAAACAGAATTTGACAAAGTGAGTTATCATGCTTTTGTGATGAGATCTAATCTTTTTAATAGCTTGGCAATACTGTGACCCTTCCACTTGATTTTAGAAATCCTCTGTAGTCCTATGACTGATGTGATGTTCACATGTATCGAATAAGTGAGACTCCAGCATCTTCTTCTACAAAGTCAACTAAATACCTGGGGAAGTGACCTAGAAAAGTTCCCCATTCTCATGCTTTGCTGCATGCCTGAGTAACTGTTGACCTTGCTGGAAAAGCTGTCATAGCAATTGCATACCCTGAACTTCCAAGAAAGCCCAGCAAGGAGCTTGGCTGATACATGTGAGTTGCTTGAGTGAGGTTTAAAAAGGTGACTACATTCAAAAAGAAGCTTATTAGCTAATTCCTTTGATTTTGAAGTCATAAATCACAGTGTGATAACACCTATTTTCCCCCAAGATAAACTAAAAGAAACCAAACAAAAACAAACCACAACCCAAAAAACCCAACCTTAACATGCCAAGATTTATTAAAAAAAAAAAAAGAAATAAAATCTGAAATACCAGACTATGATTTTACTAGAATACCTGCCTTGACATTTCTGTTCATTTCTGTAGTTCAATGGAAAAAACGTTACTGACTTCCTGAGGGGCACAACTTGGAGAAAGTTACTGCCATGAAAAGCCAATGAAGAAACACTCTCTTCACTCTTACATCCCTTCCTCTTGCTCTGCTAGGAGATGCACCATACAAATGCACATTGTAACTAAACATACTGTTTGGTAACTTTTATCTCAGTAACTGGAGACCTTCATGCACACTCCAGACTCAGACCTTCCACACAGCACAGGGAAAAACCTAGGCTGGCATGTCTCCTGACAACAAATACTAACACCATTTCAAGAAGAAATATAGTGTGAAGGTGAAGTTGTCTAGGACAAATGCTGTATAACAGCCCCTGCCTTGAGGGTAATCAGGGCATTGGAACAGGCTGCTCAGGGCAGTGGTGGAGTCACCTACCCTTGAAGTGTTCAAAAACCGTGTAAATGAGGCCCTTAGTAACATGGTTTAGTGGTGGCCTTGGCAGTCCTGATGTTAATGGTTGGACTTGATGATCTTAAAAAGTCTTTTCCAACCTAGTTTATTCTCTGATTCTCCTCTGCTCTCCTCAACAAGGCAATAATCACCAGTAAAACAATATCCAGCAAAATGATATGAGAACAAGTACCCATAGATTCAAGAGCATGAAAACACAAGGTTCAAGCTCCACCAGAAGGCACATATCTTAAATGGAAACAAGAATAGCATCTAGAACCTTTCACGAAAGACACAGAAAAACCTGCTTTTCCTGGAGTTGCAGAGTAGACAGCACTAAACCTTGTTACAGTGGTTGACTTATAGCCTCAATTTTCTTCAGCTGCACTAGGCAGAAAAACTTGAAAGGAAGCCCTCTTGACTCTATATAATACAGAAGGTTCACCTTGGAAGTTCTTCTGCCTATTAACCAGCATCTCTAACAGCTGTGCTTTAGTTCTGAAAAGCATTTGTCATGTACATTAACACACTGAAGGGAGGACCAGGCAACGTGCATTATTGAAGTTAAGAGTGAAAAGATCTAAAGAACAGAGGCAGTGTTCTGGAGAGAGAAACCAGATTTGCCTCAGGAACCAGAAGAATTATCTGGAGGCTCCAGAAACACATTTAATTTTGAAAAACAGGCAAGACAGGTATTCAAACCCTTTTCACATTAAGACAGCATTTAACTTGCTAACATCAGAGATGTACCTCCTTAAAAGCTTATGCTTTTGCAAAGCAGAGACAGGTGTATTTTACAGAAGAAAAGCCTCATCCAAATTTGGAGGATGATGAGAAATTCTGAGAAGCTTTTACTGTCCGTCCTTCCATTTTTATGGAAGTCCATGCCTAGGCAAGGTGACTGAAAATCCAGCAATTATCCCCCTCCCTGCAAACATAGTACTTTTTTCTCTGGCAAGCTGGAATGCATTGTGTAGATATCTCTAGACTAGTCAGAGGCTACACTTCTCCTTGTACACCTCCCCTAAGTAAGGCACATGACAGGTAGATGAAGTTACAGGAGATAACAGGAAGATGAAAGAATAGAAGAAATACATGAGGGACAGAAGAGACAACCTGCAGAAAACCAGAATAAATTTCTGCAGTTCATAAAACAAGTTTGTTCAAGACTTTCCTTAAAGAGCTCTACTTTAAGTAAGTACGGAACATGATTCAATGTATTCATATAGTTGTCCACCTTTCTTGTGCAGAAAACTTAAGAGACACTTCCTGTTTTACAAACTTAAGCATGGTACAGGCAAGCACTGGTGAAACACTCGAAGACCACAGGTTTATAAATTGCACTCCAACCGATTTTTTTCAAGTACTTTTAGACAAATACTATTTTAATTACTTTTTGAGAGCTAGCAATCAATAACACAGGCTGTGTTTTCATAGCATAAAACACGCACAAAGCCCCACGCAGTATTAAACCACAGACTATTAACTAGGGATATAGATTTTCTTCAAAACATATTTTATCTTCCAGTCAAAAACGTCTTCCTTGTGTGCTGATGGCAAAAATCACAGTACAAAATACTTTGGGGCTTTCAACCAATGGTTTGCTGGCAAACTGAATGACCACTAAACATGTCATTCATCCAGTTTTCTTCTTGGCTTTCATTTCACATTAAGGACTGATAAATAGCCAACCCTTTATAGCTATTTAATTATTTGCTGGATAAACTCAGAAACTACAAACTAAAACAAACATGAGTAATATAAGAGAGTTAAAATCAGATTTTCAACCATTCAAGTTGAGAGAAGATATCTGGGATCTCCAGATCAGAGTGCAATGCTAGCAAGGGAAAAGCTTATGAGGTTGTTAGCCCTTAGGGATCAGAGAGAAGTAATTACTATCTATGAAATGCCAAGGAATGATGTGGTCATTAAGAAGACTGTAGTGTGCCATAAATATTTCAATTTCAAGATTGACTGAGGTTTTCCCAAAAGCTTTTGGGCACGCAAATTGTCCTTCAAGCCTGACATAAATAGGGATGAGCTCCCTGCACTGATATGGCCCAACTTGTCTTAGATGACAACAATACAAGGAAAGTAGGTATTTCCAATTGCTGCAAACACTCAGTGACAGACTTGATTGTACAGACTAAGTAATAAAAGCTCACTATAAGCAGACAGGGACTTCACAGAGCTTACCTGTTTCTGTGCTGATGCTCCCATATGCACCTGGCAAAACTTGACTGCCTGTTCAAGTGCTGCTTCTTCATCCACCTGAACACAGAATCACAACTAATTAAGTCATACGTAGCTCATCTATAAATTTAATTAAATTCATATGAAATGGGGGTGTAGAGTATGGGAGTAAGGGTGAGAAGCAGCATTTCTATGGCAGAACAGTGATCTTAAGTTATTCAGGAACATATATGCAAAGATACACAAGTATCTCAATTCAAACTAACATTTAGCATGAACAAACCCCATACAATTTGCATTGTAGCTCTTAAATTATCTATATTTAAATTTAGTTCCAAAACATGGAGGGTCCTACTCCCCACCCCTCCCCAGCAGTGGTCTTGTCAAGAGAATAGTTCTTCGGGGGTATTTCTCTCCCCAACTTTTTAACAGATATAGGGCAAATTTTATACCACTTGGTTTAGCAGTTCCTGGTAATCTACAATCATGTTTGAGGTCACACAGAGAAATTACAATTAATGATAAAATACCTGTTTAATCAGCATGTACGTTTCAGACATGATCTTCTCAATTTTACCCAGGTCATAGGCCATAACTTTCTGACCTTGCTGCCACACTCTATACGCATCAAGCAGAAGTGTTTTTCCAGACTCCACATCCTCAAGTAATTTCCTTTTCCTGCTTGATCTCTGCATAGGTTCTTCTGTAGGTACTGCTTGAACTATTCCTTTAGCTGTCTGCTGCTGATGTTTTGAGCTAATACTTAGCTCTTCCAAAGAAAGCTCTGGAGTCCGGCTCTCTGAAGCTCTCTCCTTGGAGTTCCTGCCAGACTGAAGACGTTCTGGCTCACTGCGTTTACATGAAGAATCAATTTTTTCAGGGTCCTTGGAATATCCATCAAGATCCATAGGCTCGACTGAACCAGGGCCCGGGAGCTCTTTAATTTCCTTGTCATTCTTGTCCTCTTGTTCCAATATGTCCATGGCATTGGGAATTTGTCCCTGGGTCACCTCCTTTACTCCATTCTCAGTACTATGTGCTACTCCATCTGATAAAACTGGCTTTTTGGGAAGAACCTCTTTCCCCTCTTCAGCAGTAGTTTTATTAGAGACGTCTGTTGTCATCCTTCCTGAAGCAAGGTTAGAAGACTTGGAACTCTGATCTTCTGAAACCTTTATAAAAGAGATCATTCTTCTCTGTTATTAATGCAATCAGAAAGCATTTGAGTACAGCTATGACTACCATGAAAACTGACAGCAAGTACCTTTACATTACTGCTTCTGCTGAAGAAAATGCATTTATTCTAAATTCACTCTTGTTTGCTCCTGAATATTAATTAATCCATGCCACGAGTCTTACAATTAAAGTATTTTAATCAGTAAAACCACCACAAAGAAATCAACAGCACAGGGTGAACCAAAGCTGAAATGTTTTTCCCCCCTCAAACTACTTCAGTCTATACTATGTGATCCAACTAAATGAAAGGTAAGGTTTTAATAGCTTTAAATTTTCTTGTAATATACTGAAAGCAAAACTGAATCTGTTCCTTTTGGCAGCTGCAAATTAACCTCCAATTTAAGAATCTTCCCCTTGGTTGCTCTTACATAACCTTCTTGTTAGTAGATCAAGAAGGATGTTAACCTCTGCTGGAGTATTTTAATTTCTGCACTTTTTCTTTGGTGATGGTCCAAAGGTAGAAGACCTCACTACATCATCTCTTCTTTCAAAAACGGCTATTGATACAATTCTTCCACCCAGATTTATGAGCAAACTATTTCATACAGAGTTCCAGTGTCCTTAAAGAAGCTTTCATTTACTGTACTCTTGTAAACCTGGAAAGCCCTGAGGGACAAACAATTCCTTGAATGCATTTATTAAATAAACCTCCAAGTTCCAGTTATCTTCACCAGGAAACTGATTAGTCTCTGACTTCTTAAGATTTCACCTAAATTACAATTACATGTAATAAAAGATGTGGTGCTGTCAAGAACCAGCACATAGTATCTAGTTGTGTGGTTTTAGTTTGCAAGAGGAATATCAGTTCATTTGAAAAGGAAATTTCCAACAGACCCCACCTGCAAATGTAGCTGGTTTTATACTCCACAAAGCTACCATCACTTGAAATATTAGGGACAGTCAAACCAAACTTACTGCAATCGGTTCTCAACAACGGTTATTTGTTACTGGATTTCAAAAACAAAAGACAACAATGCTGGAAGGAAGTTTAATATGTAGTTGCACATAAGCAAAAGGTATTAGGAATAAGTGATAATAATGCAGCACTTCCGTCTCAGGAGATCTACGGTCAGCAAACTAAATCTAGGAAAAAATAGTTACTAAATCAAGGACCATTAAACACATTTACCTGTGTCAGATCGTTGAGAATGTCCTCCAACACTTTCACTGTAAGCACAAAGGCTTGTTGGGCCAAAACTTGGCGATCGGCATCACGCAAGTACTTCCTGTGCCACAGTAAGGTAACAGAAATTAAGCTACTTGCCCAAAGCTGATAGAACCTTAAAAGCAAGAACCAGGACACTGAAAAGAAAACACCCCACCCCCACCCCAACCAAACCAACCCCCCAGAAAACTCAACACAACAATTTTAAAGCAAGTTACAAGAAAACAAACACCACCAATGGTTGCATATTGAAATCTAACACTTTAGCTACATTTCCCTCCGCTCTTCCCCTCAGCATAACCATCAAAGATGACATGCATGAAGCAAATGATAGCAGGATCTACAAACAGAGGGAAAGGGAAAGGATAAAAAAACCCAACAAACCAAACCCGGAGCAAAACAGACAACCAGAATTACAGTTTTCTTACATCAACCCCTCTGTGACCCTCAAATACCAGCTTTTTAGTCAAACTTCTTCTTGAAGAGGCTCATCAGTCACACAAAGCTATCCTGAACTGATGGGATTTTCATGTTCCAGATACCAATACCTTTTTTCCTATTTAGTATTATTTAAAAAATATAAAAGTTGTATGTGTAAAACTTATTCATTCTGTAGCTTCATTTTATTTACAAGAGCATTATAACTTCAGTGTATTCTGACGAAATGCTTTAGCCCACTTTCAAGGAAAATACTTCCAGCCATCAATCCTGCCTAACTGAGTTTGAGGAAAACTGAATCTCCATTTCAGAATTAGCTGCTTTTACTGAGAGGGCTAAAAACCAAGTAAATTTTGAAGCCAATATTTTTAATACACATTTTTTCTCTACAATATTACATTAACCTGGTAATCAAAATTTTAGGGTTTGCTTTTCAGACAAAAGATACAAACCCCTGACTCCTCATTAGTCCAGTATAACTACAGTTCAGCTGAAAACTCCCTGTTTTTAAAACCAGGCCTGTTACAGGCATATACCAGACACACCCAGAATGTTTGCATTTGTAAGTTCACCATCGCTGGCACTGGCCAATCCGACATGTCAAATTACTTGTTTGTTAAATTCAGTCTAGACTTACAAATAACATAATATTTTTAGTACAACTATGGGCTTGCTTAGGACAGAATTTAAACCTTCTATGGCTCAGTACTTCAGATATGCTAAAAGTCAAAGTATTTTTGGCTTCAAGTTTGCTGAACATGTGGTGACATTCCCAGACATACTACAACCTATGCAAATTCACATGCCCTCACACTCAAAAACACATGAAGAAACCTTCAATGCCTCCAACTTATTGCCATCAATCATCCAGTTCAACTTCCTTAGCATTTGCCAGAGATTGAGTTCAACATTTCCCACTTGGCAAGCTACCAGAATTATACCTCAATTGCTTCAGTGTTTTCCTTAGATGTTTATTTTGGTCTTTCAACTGATATGAATCTGTATATAGCTCACATTGAATGTCTTTTTTCTTAAATAAGGTTAATGCAATTAAAATTAGATCACCCATGAATAGGATAAGCTTTTTAAATAGCATCAGCTGCCAACAGGCACATAACCATTGTTCAGGTTGTCAAGGATTACAGGAAGGCAGGATGCCTGGGCCATGACCTCCCTCACTGGACATAGCTCTTATGCAAGAGGCCAGCAGAAGGGTGCAGAAGTCATGATGCTCTGTCCCACCAGTGAATCCCTCCACATGACAGAAAGCCTCTGCAAGTCTATCAAGGCAGCTCTATGGCTGCTCTGAGTTTCAAGAGAAATTCTAGAGTCTATTATGGAATCGTAATCCTGAGAAAAATTAACTATCATTCCTCTATATTCCTGAGGAATCTGTCTAAAGACTTTTCCTAAACTAAATAAAATAGTTACACAGTGAACAAAATATATTCAAAGCTTCACAAAGTGATGGATTAAAATAAATAGACCATACTTTCCCTGATCAGGGGTCCTCTGTAGCATAGATGAGACTTTCAGCAAGGTGTTGTAATCCTTTAGCTGTGACAGTACATTTAGCAGTAAGACAATAGAGCGGTTCATATGAGATGCAAAACTGCCCGGGCGGTCGATCTCATCCACGGGGATGCGCCAGATTCCCTGCAGAGAAAGAAAAAGAGGAAACCTCTCAAGAGGGATCCAACCGAAAAGGACAGAAGGATCCAGCTGAAATCTTCAGATATGGGTGGGATTCCGCAGGATACTGAATTTCACTGACGGTCAGGGAAATAATGGACAGACAAATGCTGTGCTCCTTCAGGCAGGGAGATCCGAGTCAACTGATTCCTGCCAGCAGCAAAAAGGGAGGCTTGCAGAAGCCACAGCACACCTTCTAAATATGCTTCTGAACTACTCCCAGAATAAAAGCAAGCAAAGCCTAAATTATATCGTGCATTCTTCTTACACGTCTGTGAGCATGCCTTCCTAGGCTAAAGATCAACTACCATAAAAAACAAGGAGTAACTTAAAATAAGTTTTCCTGGCCTGAAAGCTGCTTTTCTTGTGCAGCCACAGCAAGTTTCTATCTTCAAATCATCTGTTACTAAATGTCTCAGGAACTTGGTTACTGCCTTGGTATCATCAGTGTTCACCACGGCACTACCCAGTCTGCTAGAAAGAATCGGATTCCTCAGCAGTATCCATTTTCCAGTGGCAGATTCAAATACTTGTGCATACATCCTCACCCTTCTAATTAAATTTCTGGGACAAGGGAATCTTTGGGGAGCAAGGCTGGAGTCTGATAAAAATAATAATTTCATTATGGTTAGTCAGCTCCATTTCTGCCATCTGTAGTAAGTTAAAGGAGGAGGAAAAATGCAACGCCTCCTATACCCAACTACCAATTATGACCATTCACAAAAGCTGCTGTTACATCAGTGCAAACCCCTCCCTTGTGCTTTATTCAGCCCTGAAGCTTTTCCTATAGCAGCTCTCTGGTTGTGTAAACCATTTGGTGACAATGCAGGAAAGAATAGTCTCATTGACAGGAGACCTGCCTGAAAATCAGTTTTGCTTTCCAAACCTGTTCAGAAAGCAGGATATACAAATATTTACTCTTGTATCCTTGTTTAAAGGTCTTGCTTTGATATTTTTAGCTTTGCTTTCAGTATGAGCAAAATTCTTCAGAACTTAATGCAAAGTGGAAGCAAAGAAAATGATTACTGCAATCACAGATGACATCTGACCACAAAAGAAGCAGATGCATAACCGACTTGTCTACAACAGGCCCTCCCCCTGCATGTGTTCAGAGAATCTGCAGTTCTGCTCCATAGGATGTATAGGAACTTAGGGAAAACCAACAAATACCGGTGTTTTTAAATAGGAAACTGTGACTTCAACTAGATATAATGCACAGCCTGTCCTGTCAAATTTTCTTACACTTGCTTTTCCTCATGCTCCCTACTCTTACACCCTGATGATCACATACAAAGCCATTTTTCCTGTTTGATCCCTGTATCTCTCTTTCAAACCTTTCTTTGTAGCTTTCCTTTCCCAGGAAGTACCTATACCCCCACCACGACTGACCCCCGAGGCACAACCGTTGCTTCCTCCCATCCCCAGCTACCAACATCCACAAGTACCTTTTGTGGCTTGGTGGCAAAGATTTTATCTGCTCGTGTAGCTCAGTAGCTCTCAAGCACACAGACCTTGTAGGTAACAGTTCTGTAAAGCAGCACATACTTCATTTAAAGAGAGAAACTTTTTCTTCCCCCAACCTATACAATGACTTTCCTTTCAGGCCTCAGATAAAACACATTCTGGAGCTGACATTTTTGCTTCTCTGCACGTACATAAACTGGGTTTCTGCCAAATCCTGAAACAACTGAATGCCTCATCATGGCACCACATTGCAACAACCTACTTAGCCAATTTGAGGATACAAAACAATTTATGGTCGACTTAGACACACTGTGTAGGAATGGAAGACAGCCAACATGTAAGTTCCTGGTCTTTTTCAGCATTATCTCATCCTTCATTTGAATTAGGCAGATCACTGGAGGGAGCCTTCAGTTACCTTATCTGGAACCAGCTGAAACAATTCTGCAGCTCTCCCATGTCCCATGTATACATTGTAGTACTACTCCAGAGATTACAATAATGCAGTAAAACCATTTGCAATGACAGATTCTGCTAACTGCAGCTACAAAGCTGTGGAAGTGACCAAGTCCATCTGATAAATGCCAAGGTGCATATTATGAGAAATGCTGCTCTTCCGTAGTTCTACAACAGGACACATTGGAAGAGCTTAAATTAAAACCCACATTACGGGCATTTAAGTTTATATATTAAGTTTTACCTTAATAAAGGTTTGATTTTATAAGGGAAGTCACTGTGTTTTGATGTGCTGACTTGCAATAAATAAGATCAGTGTTCTGTTACATACTGGCCTGTTTCACATGCAGCCTTAAGCCAAAAGCAGAAAGAAACCCGCCATCAGGAGTCAGATGGCCGAATCTTCATTCCACCCACTGTGATTTTATTAAGCAATATACAAAACATTGATGTTAAAATGAGTTTATCAGAATTTGAGTGATACTGAATTCTTTTTAAGACTTCAAGTTGAGTCAGAGACTAAAGAACGGTCTCATTCAAACTCCTCCCAAAGAGAAGTTTAACTACAACCATCAGGCATCAGTTTTTCCTTTCTAAGTATCAATAACCTTCAATAAGAATATTTCTGAAATCAGATCATACACGTCAACCTTTTTAAAGAGCTGAATGTTAGGGGTTTTTTGTTTGGTTGGGTTTTTTTTAACAAAACTTAAGAAAGCCAGAAATGCAAAGGTTGCAATGAAATAACTGAGGAGGAGACTGGAAAAAGTTATTCAGTTTGACTAAAATTAAAGTTTTCAGATGATCATTTGAAAGTTCAGATTTGTTAGCAAGACCCTGTTTGACAGTACCCACGGAGAGGAGTGCAGGTCCTTGTGAAAAACATCTGCAGTTCTTTGAAAGGTTTTGTTACTGATTATCCTCACTCAGGACACTTGACAAAATGTCTTTGGCTCTGGCCACGAAAAGGATTTTATATCTAACACACTGCTCCTGTCTGCTGGACACCATTCCCACAGCTGAAAGGTTCCTCCCTCTGCAACAGCCAGCAAAGCTGTTTACATGAAACTAGGAGTGAGGCACTTCCAAAAACTCCAAAATGCCTCCCAAGATCCAAAACATCAAGCTGCTCTCCGTGCCTTTCTAGCTAAACACACAGTCTGTGAGAGCTGGGGCTGGGGGAAGCCAGCCTGATACGCACTGCTGGAAGAAAGAATAAATCTGGAGCACATGAAAATTCTGCAGCTAACTTCTGATTTTTATACTAAATATGAAACTGGACAATGAAGTCAGTCAACCATATTCCTGGTGACACTTTTTCAGCTTAAAACTTGCAGCACAACCACTCCTTGCAGAAAAAACTGAAGACTTGGGGAGGAGGGTGAGGAAAAGAGGACCACACTACGCTGGCTTTTGTGAGCATGAGCTACAGTGTTAGTGGATGCTTTCTAGTTCAGCCACTGAAAATAGAAGGGAAGGAAGTACTTATTATTCCTCCTTGCTGCTTACTCCAGAACTTTACGGGAGGGGATTCTCTGGGGTTTAGGAATGCCTCTCTGAGGAGGGAAGGCTGACAGTTCTCAGCAAAACCCAAACTTCTCTGGGGATGGCTGCTGCTGATGCTGCAGAACTTCAGAGTAAGCCATTTTCTAAGCAGAGATCAAACCCGACCGAGTGCTCCATGGTTTCTCTTCTTCGCGAAATGGAGAAATGCTAGCCACACTTCATATGATCCAATTCACATACAACAAGCAAACACATAAAAAGACTACTGCTACAAATATGGACCTCCAGTTACTTATGACTCAATTCTCTCTTTTTTAACAAGGGGTCCCAGAAGTGCAAGTTACACCACATAAAACAAACTCAATTCCACTGCTGCCTTCAAGCGACCAAAGCAAAAACACACTTCTTCATTTGCCGGTCCCAGTAATGTCCTACTAAGAGCTCTTATAAAACACAAATTTAATATAAATATTATTTTAACATTGTCAGGAAACATGACCAAACTGACAAACCAACTAATGAAGCTGTGCAGGGAAACCACCGATTAATAATGCAACAACCTACACAGTATTCAGGAATCAGACATTGAACTAAGCATGATCTCATAATCCCTGGAAAGCTCACACCTTGCTAAACCCTCTTTTGTTTGTTTTAAGTCTGTTTTAATACACGCAACATACTGAAGCACTTGTAGTTTGCCTTGTGTCCTCTCTTCTCAGTTACTTAGGTCAACATACTATTTGGCACTGGGGGCCTGAAAAGGAAACAAATATGGTTCAAGCTGAACAGTTTCAGCACACACGAGCTGAAACCCCACCCTTTCCAGCTAAGAAAGTATAGCACAGAACCTTGAATACCCCTACTCCTCTGTGTAAGCATTGCTCTATTTAGGCTCAAGCCAGTAGGCATGTGTTTGCTTAACTCGTGGCTTCCTGCTAGTTTGTGGGTAACCATCAAAACTGCTGCTCCGTTCTCCATGTAGTAAATCACTAAACCACCTTTTCTCATCCAATCTTAAAGTGCTCCCATATCTCTTAGTATTTTACTCTGTCACCCGTTTTTGGCTTTTCTTCTTTTCTACAGACAATCCTGTTATTTTTCTTTCTCAATTCCTCATTTCATCCTTACTGCCTTTCGGTATGCAGTGGGACAATTCCACCTTTGTGAACAGGAATGTGAGTGAGCACAAAAGCATTAAGAAATGAAAGCACCCATATTCCAAATAGTAAAATTATTAGCTGTAGGGATTTGTGTTATCAAGGAAAAAAAAGCAGCCCCTACTTTTTGTGAGTAACTTAGCCAATTATAGAAAAATCTTATGAACTTTTTCCAGAGCACTTAAGCAGCACCCCTCTTGCCTGCTGTTAGTCTTGTTCATATACTCCAGTAACAGAACGTAAAACAATGGTGTGATAATAACTAAATGATACTTTATCAGCCTGAAAAAGGAAACAGAAATAAGGCAAAGCTGCAGCAACTTCCTTTCAGTAAGGCAGAACCAAGCAGGATTACAATGCCTGGTCTGCAAGGTAAATGTTGTC